ACACACACACACACGCACAAACGACACGCACACACACACACACACACACACACGCACACACGCACAAACGCACGCACGCACGCACACACACGCACGCACGCACGCACGCGCGCGCGCATACACACGACAACACACCTGCCCAGTGAAGACAGGAGACGCCCTTCTTGGTGACGAGGGTATGATCAGCCCCAAATCCCATCAGCGCACGAACCACGTGCATGTGCTTGTTGCGACAGGCCCAGTGAAGGGCAGTCCTCCCTTCGCGGTTGCAGGAATTCACGTCCACTCCGCACTCTTCAACGAGGAATTGACACAGCTCCACGTGGCCTTGGCCTAAAGCGGTTAAGCATACACACAGGCAAAGGATTGAATTGCATGCAATTGGGGCATGCAAGTCATTTGAGCACAATCACACCGACAGAGGAACAGGATTGGACATTCACATCAACACGCCTCGTGCACACACACACACGCACACACAACACAGGCATGTGCATGGTGAACAAAGGCCATACCAGCTGCCCAGTGCAGGGCGTTGAGCCCGTGTTTGTCGACAACTTTGGTGACATTCCATCCGCGATGGACCAACTGCCGCACAGCCAAAGCGTCGCCCACACGAGCAGCGTGCAGCCCTGAACGATGCACATATGGTTGGTGTGAGGTCTCGAGGTTGTGCATGTGTGTGTATAGTGGTGTGACGAAACGGATACTTGCGCAACTTGAACAACTCACATCCCGAACAAACACAAACAAACACGCACACGCACACATGCACCGGTAGAAAGGAGCACACCATGCTTCTCGTTGAAAGCGCTTTCAATAATTCTGGACGTGTTGATTTTTTGGCGCCGCTGCTCTTTCCTGCGTGCACGTTCAGCACGCTGCTGCTGTTGCTGCTGCTGTTGTTGTTGGTGTTGTTGGTGCTGCTGCTGTTGTTGTTGTTGGTGCTGCTGCTGCTGCTGTTGTTGCTGCTGCTGCTGCTGCTGTTGTTGTTGTTGTTGTTGTTGTTGTTGTTGTTGTTGTTGTTGTTGTTGTTGTTGTTGTTGTTGTTGTTGTTGTTGTTGTTGTTGTTGTTGTTGTTGTTGTTGTTGTTGTTGTTGTTGTTGTTGTTGCAGCACAACAGCTGCATCATTGCCATCACCAACAGTGCCATCAGCACGCGAGCTGCAGTCAACATCGCCGCCACCACCACCTTGTCGCCCCTCAACTGTTTGAATCATCGTGCGGATGTGTGCAGCAATAGCTGCTGGTGTTGCCAGACGCTGGACACAGCTCGCATCGATGCTGACGTGTAGTGTTGATGACAGCATCTCTGACAGCACCGTCATCACCATCGAGTCTGCACCGGCCTGGCAGTTTGGACAGGGCCCGCAATATGTGTGAGTGTGTGAGTGAGAGTGTGCGCGCAGCTTGAGAGTGGTCTTAGACACAACAGAGAGGCTGATGTGCACGTTATTCGCACACGTTCACACACACACACACAACCTCCCATCACACGAGACTCACGTGCACGAGCCGCGAGCTTGGATCGACGGGAAACCCAAGAATCTCCTGTGCGCTTGACAGCACCGTTGCCAAAGTACAATCACCACCACCATCATCGTTGTTATGATTGTTATCAACACCATCATCACCACGCCCCTCGTCACGTGTAGTGGTGCGGTGACTGTGCCGTGTGGCGGATTGCACGTCCAGCTCCATCAACTCTGTGGTTGCAGTTCATACAGAGGAGGATGTGGCAATGGAAGCCATGTGAGGTGGGAGGCATGTGAGCAGGGCACGATTGTACATGAAGGCACGTCGTAAACTTGTGTTGCTGGGCTGGGCGGGCGAAATGGAGATGGAAAGGACAGTGCACGCGACTGCGGTGTCAAGGCTTGCACACATTGCATCATGACGCGAACCGTCTTTGTGGCGATTGGGGCGCGCAAACACCTGGAAGGCAAAATCTGTCTTGGGAGGAAGCTGCAACGATGTTGAAAACTCTGTCGAGTGTGTTGGTGTCATTGGGAGAGGGTGAGCACGTGACGATGAATACAATTGAAACGTCTTGCACAGACGCACGCTCTGCAGTGTGCAAATCATGGACAAACAACAAAAGAGAATGTATCAACCAACATACACACACAGACACACACACAGACACACAGTCACAGACACACATACAAAGAGCATAAGTACGCCGCACTTTGCCTCTGCAGCTTCCCCGTTGCTGTTCGCGGGAAGGAAGACACGAAGAAGACGCACAATGGCGCAGCACGCTCAAACACACGCACGGCCACAGCCATCTTTGCTCGCACCGCCAGTGACACAAGCTGCTGCTGCACGTCTGCAGGCGCATAAGCGTGGACGCGTGTGAATGTGTAAGTGCATATGCCCGTATGTTCAAGCAGCAGCAGCAGCAAAGCCAGACCGAACGAACGAACGAACGAATGAACGAACGAACAACAACAACAACAACAACAACAACAACAACAACAACAACAACAACAACAACAACTTAAACAACAACAACAACAACTTAAACAACAACAACAACAACAACAACAACAACAACAACAACAACAACAACAACAACAACAACAACAACAACCACGACTACGAGTACAACCACAACGACGACTACGACAACAACAACAACTACTACCACAACAACTACAACAACGACGACAACAACAACACATGCCACCGCTATTGCTGCACGCACCGTGCTGTGCAGACGTGTGCGCCAGTTTCGTTTCAATACCAACAGCCACAGCTTCTCCCAGCGTCGCGTGTGGCAGCGGGAATGCGAGGGCAGGCAGGCCGATCTCAGCATGCACCGCGTGCTCAATCTGACAATCGCGGCGGTGGCGGCGATGGTGAGGACCGGAAACACACACACACACACACACACACACACACACACACACACACACACACACACACACACACACACACACACACACACACACACACACACACACACACACACACACACGAACATACCTGGAGCGGGGACAGCGTTTCGCCGGCGCGGTTGATGATGTGTTTGAGACGACCGCAGAGGCGCACATGTCCGGATTTTGTGAACTGGCCCAAATCACCAGTGCGAAACCACCCGCTCGCCGTAAACGCCGTGAGATTGGGATCTGATCCGTGGAAACAGAATAACGCGCACAAACGACAGGGCGGGTTTGTGCGTAAGTGAGCGAGTGTGTGAGTGTGTAAGTGAGTGTGTGTGTGCGTGTGTGCGTGCGTGTGTGAGTGTGTGTGTGTGTGTGTGTGTGTGAGTGTGTGTGATGGTGATGGTGATGGTGATCACATGTGAAGAACGGACCACTGTGCAAATTCACACGCCACATGCCACAAATAACGCTCACCTCTGTCCTTTGAGACGAGGTAGGAGGCAACACAGGGCCCACGAACCACCACTTCACCAAGCACGCCCGGCGCCTGCGTCAGCACCTCCCCACCACCACCATCACCATCATAACCATCGACCATAATTGCCACCTGAGGCCCGGCGGGCGGGCCAACCGTGGTTACATCATGCTGCGAAGGTATGACATCATCAACACCACTGCTGCCGCTGCTGCTACGATCAGCGTCGCTGTCACAGTCATCGCAGCCATCATGTGATCTGCCGTCTTCGTCACCGGCACCGCAACACTGGTGGCGCGGTGGGAGCGGGTTGCTGCAGATGGGAAGGCACTCTGTCATGGCATATGTGGTGAGAACGGTGCAGTGGAGGTGTTTCTCGAGCAATCTGGCGACGGAAGGCGACAGCGCAGCAGAGCAGTTGCGCGCAAACCGGATACGAAGTGGAGCCACAGGCTGACACCCATGCTGCTGCTGCTGCTGTTGCTTAGCTTGAAGTTGGTTAGAGTGTTGTTTAAGCGGTTGCGTATCGCCTGCGTCTGCGTGTGCAGCGGAAGCAGCTGCAGCCTTGTCCAGCCAGTGCGCGAGCGGGGTGTGGAAGGCGGGCACAGCCGAGTACCACGTCACACCGTGGACACGTGCAAGCTGCAGAAACTGCTGTGGGCCGGGAAACACGGGCGCGAGAACGACGCGTGCACCAGCGTAGAGCGTGCACAGGCAGTTGACGCCAAGCCCGTGCCAGTGGAAGAGCGGAAGCACGTTGATGCCCACGTCTTGTGTTGACAACTGCAGCGTGTTCTGGATCATGCCGAGGCCGCTCAGGATCCCGTGGTGGGTGAGGACCACCGTCTTCTGTGCTCCGGTCGTGCCACTCGTTCGCAGGAACAAGCACGCGTCCTTGGGGAACGCTACTTGCTTCATGACGTCGTTTGCACCGGTGCTGGTGGTCTCGGTGCAGCCGTCGTTTTTGGTGGTGGTGATGAACTCGCTGTGTTTGTGCTGCTTGCTGCTGTCGGTGTCCCCACTTCCGTTGCCAACACCTGTGATGGCTTGATTGCTGTTCGCAGTGTCAGCGATGAGCACATGCTCCAGGGCAGGTGCGCTTGCGTTGCGTGAATCGCAGTGTACGCTGCACAGGCACGCGTGGTGTGCAGCGATGGCTTCCATCCACGCTGACGAGATTGTGGCGGCCACAGCGACATCACACAGCACCAGCCTTGGACGGTACTCGCTGAGGTACGATGTGAGCTGCTCTGCAGAGATGCTTGGGTCCACGGGGACGCAGATGGCCTTGGCCTTGTTCAGTGCCAGGAACGAGACGGCCAGCGTCAGCGGGCAGCTGCAGGCCAACACCACGGCTGTGCCTTCGAGGTCACTGGCATCGCCCACGTGCTCGATTTGCTCCATTTGCTGCTGCAAGCACAGCACGGCCGCGCGCACTTGCCCATACGTGACCAGATCTGCTGTGTCTACTGTCCCGTGGCCTTGTTCCTGCTCCGTGCGCGGGCAGACAAAGCACACGTCCCCCTCATCTCGCTGCACGTGCTGCCGACCAAACAGCACCGCGTCCGCCACAACCATATCCAGCGACGGGTCCATGCAGCATAAACTGTGGTGCACACAAACAAGCCATCCAGCAAGCAAGCCACAACAACAGCGACACACATCGAAAAAGTTGTGTGAGACGTGTGACCGTGAGCGATGGAGCAGCAGCAGCGCCCGCGAGCCAACACGGGGGAGAACCGGAGGGTGCGTGCGTCGCGCGTGGTGCCTGGGCGGCCAACGCGTGAGGCGCCAGCACCCCCGCCAACTCCGCCGCAAGGGATCCTGCCTTTGTCGTCGCCTTCGCCGTCATCGGCGTCACCGCTGTCGCGGCACAGCTCAGCGCTTGGTTCTGCACCGGCCACCGCCAACTCCAGCACGTTGTCTGCGGGGTCCATCTCCATCTCACCGTCGTCATGCGCCAGCAGTCGTGCTGCCTCGATGTCGGTACTCCCGTCTCAACACAAAGGCGTTGTGCTTTCGGCATCGCCTACGAGCGACGGTGTGGGTGCCGGGCACAAGCCAGAACACGGCGCTGGTGATGCGCACCAGCAAGAGCAAGAGCAAGGGCAAGAGCAGGAGCAGAAGCAGGAGCGAGAGCGAGAATCCCTCCCGTCCACCAGCTCGCTGCCTGCGATGGTACAGGCAACACTTGAACACCCACACACAGCCACAGCAACTGTAGACGCAGCAGGTATGCCGCTTGGCGGACGCGAGCGGGCCATCAGCATGCCTGTGATGCAGGAGCAGCGGCCACACCACCAGCCACCGGGCTCTGCGCCAGCGGAGAATCCTGACACGCCATTCTGGAACGAGTTCAAACGGCAGGCGCACACCACCGTGGTGATCCACGAAGGGCAGGTGGCACAGGAACAGACAGACCCGCTCACCGACCTCACGCTGGAACAGCGTCTTCTGCTGTTGAGAGCAGCAACGGTAGGTGCATCCACGTTGGCGGTGTTGGTGGAGTTGGTGGATGTGGGTGCGTTGTATGAAGCGGTGGGCGTGTCCACTGCTTGCATTGGCAATCATGTGACTGCCACTTTGGCCACGTGTGTACCTGGCAAGCACATCTTACTTCTGTAGCAACGTACATGGACATTCTCTCACAAGCTCACGCACATTGTCACACCAACAACTGGCACACATCCAACACCACATCTCCACTACATTCGAGACAGATGGGTGCGATGACGCAGGATGAGGTGCTGTCGTGCGGGCAGGCGCTCGTTGCTGCTCGGCACGCGCAACAGGGGGATCAAGTCGCCGCCATCGAGGCACAGGTGCAGCACACCATTGAGACGCTTGAGTTTTCCGCACCTCCGCCGTCATCGCCACACCTGTCATCTTCGTCAACATCGGCGCATCTTGGCGCGTCGCCATCACCGACAGATGCGTCCCGCTCCCGTGGCAGCAGCAACGCAGCCGTACACCAGCCGCACACGTACGTCGTGCTGTGTTTCGTGTGTGTGTGTGTGTGTGTGTGTGTGTGTGTGTGTGTGTGTGTGTGTGTGTGTGTGTGTGTGTGTAGTGTGTGTGTGTGTGTGTGTGTGTGTGTGTGTGTGTGTGTGTGTAGTGTGTGTGTTAATGCGTCAACGGGTGATCCTTTCTTGTTCGCTTGCGCGCTCTATATGGAAGCAAATCACCATTGCCACTTAATTGTTCTCACCCCCCCCCCACCACGGCCACGGCCATCCATCTCATCGCCACCAGGGACGGGGTGCTGGGCAAGATGGGCGTGCTCGACGACGTGCAGCGGCGAGCAGTGATGGAGACGGTGGCAGCCGGCAACCTGACCATGGACGAGGCACTTGCACTCGTGGAGGCGTATCTGAGAGTGGAGACACGCGGTGATGCAGACGCACAGGACGGCGTGCACGGCGAAGGGGTCGTGGTCCGTGCTGACGGCGATGGTGGTGGTGATGTGAATGGTGGTGGTGACAGCAAAGGTGGGGGGAAAACGGAGACGAACGGCAGGGCGGATCAAGGCGACAGTGGTGCAAATATTGCGCACGAAGATGTCAGAGCAACAGTAACAGCAACAGCAACAGCGAGCGTCACTGGTGTTGAGGACAGTGACGGTCATGCTGTTGCGAACGCGCCATCATCCACTCCATGTCGCGATGATGATGGCAGCGAAGTGCAGGGGACGGAGGCGCAGCTGTCGGCGATACGCAACGCAGTGAAGACCAGCGGTGACGATGATGATGATGATGACTTTGACATGTACGACAGCGATGATGATGACGATGATGGACGCGGGAACGACGAGGTGGTGGGTGGAGCACTGAATCTGCTCAGCATTGGGGAACCGTGCACAGACACTGGCGGTGTAGTTGGTTATGGTCGTGTTGGCGATGGTGATGTTGGCGATGGTGATGCTGATGCGTTGCAGCATCAAGCGTCGACTACAACAGAGTCATATGGTGACAATGATGGCGGTAATGGTGGTGGCGACGATGCAAAGTCTGAGGCGAGCGACTATGTTGACTTTGACGGAGAGGCCCCGACAAAGGAAACCATCGCAGCCGTGGTGGGCAGAGGGGATGACGATGGTGGTGGTGGTGATGATCATGGTGGTGATCATGGTGGTGATGATGGTGGTGACGGTGGTGGTGATGGTGACGTTCATGGCAGCAACGCAGTGTCAAGCGATGATGAGAGAACGGAGAAGGGTGGCACTTTAACAGAGCAACAACACAGCGTGGAAGCAACAACAGGTGCACGGGCTGCTGATGGCGATCACGACCTCGTGAACATCATGACAACAGTCACACAAGTGCCACCAGCGGCACCAGCGGCACCAGCGGCGCCGTTCACCCGTGCTGATCGCATGGATGACATGCGACTGCTGCGTGCCAGTTCTCCGAATCGCGCACGTGACCGCACCAGCAGCAGGACAGCACTGCTGACGGACGACGATGACGATGGTGGTGAAGCCGGTGGTGCAAGTGATGTTATGATTGTTGCATCAGAGGCATCCACGCCACAACAAGCGTCACAAGCGGACAGCGGCAGTATTGGTGGTGGCTCTGGAACACACGAGGCCAACACATCCACAACGACCTCTCTTTCGCCGCCACCACCAGCGTCGTCGGAATCATCGCCATCATCATCACAGGTGCGGGAGTCGCGAGCACGCAGTTTCCTGTCACGCTTGAAGCAGTTGCGCCCGTCACCGGGTGGCAAGGGCAGCCGGCGTGGCGGCAGTGACGATGGTGATGGTGATGGTGATGACGATCATGATGATGGTGGTCATGATGGCGAGAGGCAAGGAGGGAAACTGGCCAAGTTGCGAGCAATGATGAGAGCGCGCATGCTGAAGGTTAAGCGACGAGACACCAACACTGACGATAAAGGTGCTGATGATGGTGCTGATGATGATCATGATCATGATGATCATGATGGTGACGGTGGTGACGGAGATGAGAGCGACGAGGCGTTCTTTGACCGGGCCATCCACGAGCTTGATGACGTGCAGCGGCTTGGCATCATGCGCGCTGTATCCGACGGTGGTCTCACGGTGGCGGAGGCGCTCGCCCTCGTGGCCTCATATCTGCACATCGAACACGGCCACCAGCACCAACAGCAGCAATAACGGCAGCAACTGCTGCTGCTATCGTGCGTGTGTGTGTGTGTGTGTGTGTGTGTGTGTGTGTGTGTGTGTGTGTGTGTGTGTGTGTGTGTGTGTGTGTGTGTGTGTGTGTGTGTGTGTGTAAAGGACCCTTTTTTATGTATTTTGTTTTCTGTGCATCATCAGAGCAGAAATACATCGCCAACATGTGTGCCAGCGATACGCCAAGTTGCAATCGACAGCCGCGAGAGATGAGAGCACAGTGCGAGAGTTTACGAACACACACACACACACACACACACACACACACACACACACAGAGCGCGAGGGCTATGGCTTGAGCACGACCCTGAAGCGGGCATTGTTCGAGAGCATGTGTGCATATGCTTCGTTGGCTTCGCTGAGAGGAAACACCTCCACCATGGGCTGGATGTTCTGCACGCATCAAGTGGGGAAGGTGTGGACAGTGTGCGGAGACAGACAGGTGCATGAAATAGGATGGGGTGGTGATGGTGGATGTGGGCGAGGTGAACGCGGTGAACGCGGTGAAAGGGGACGTGGCAGGGTGAATACGGTCACTGCATCGCAGAGGAGCAACAGCAGACAGACAGACAGACAGACAGACAGACAGACAGACAGACAGACAGACAGACAGACAGACAGACAGACAGACAGACAGACAGACAGACAGACAGACAGACAGACAGACAGACAGACACACACATACACACACACACACACACACACACACACACACACACACACACACACACACACAGAGCGTACGTGGAGGGCGGAGAACGTGAGCGTGTCTTCTGCATCGATGGGGACACCCGATGACCATCCGCGGATATGGCGGCGCTTTCCAAGGAGCGTTGCTGGCGCCACTTTCATGGGCTCTGGGCTCTCCCCGAGCACAATCAGCTGCCCATCGAGGGCAAGCGCATCTTTGAGGATTGGGGAAAAGGTCAAGGGCAGGGGAGGGAGGGCGAAGAGGGAGGAGTTGGAACCATGGTGAGAACAGAGGATGAACATGTTAGCTGGCGAAATAGACAGAACCACACAAGCAGACATAGACTGATGTGGCATGCAATCGTGCACGGACGCAAACGCACAAGTCGGCATGTCCACGTACATGCACACACACACACACGTACGCACATCAGCGAACACTTACACACACGCATAGACATACGTACACACACACCTGTGAGGGCAGACATGGCGTCGCTGTTGAATGCGGTGCACATGATGACATCCGCACCACCCATGGCCTGAAGCGCAGCCACAACGTCTTCCTGCGTTGTGTCGATGTAGGTGGATGCGCCAAGCTTCAACGCGAGCTCCTTCTTGTCGACGCCACGCGACAACGCCACCACCTGTTGAGTGTGTGTTTGTGTGTGTTTGTGTGTTGTTTGTTTGTGTGTGTGTGTGTATTTGCGCGTGTGTGTGAGAGCAGTGTGTATGTGTGTATGTATGTGTGAGCAGTGTGTGTGCGTGTGTGTGTGTGTGTGTACACGAGCGTCGCAACGTATTTTGTATGATACAACACGCAACAGCAAACCGAAGGTAAGCGCAGCCCTTCTCCGAATGCGCACGCACGTTGTATCCCATGGCTGCGGCGTATTGGAGGCCGAGGTGTCCCAGGCCGCCAATGCCTTGGACGGCAACGGTCGCTGGGGGTTTGACGCCCGTGTTGCGGAGGCTGTTGAACATGGTGAGCCCTGCGCAGAGCAGTGGCGCAGCGACCTCGGGTGCCATGCCATCGGGAACCTTGGCTAGGGACTCCCACGGCGCAATCATGTGCGTGGCGTAGCCTCCATCGACGTGCAGCCCCGTGATGACGGTGTTGTCGCAGCCAATAAACTTGCCGCGCAGGCACGACTGGCACTGGAAGCAGTGGGAGCCGTGCCAGCCACGGCCCACGCGGTCGCCGACCTTGAACCGCAACGCGTTTGGGCCCAGCTTCTCCACAATCCCCACCACCTCGTGGCCCGGTGCGCGCGGATACTGCACGCCGGCGCGCCCGTCCTTTGCCAGCGAATCAGAGTGGCACACGCCGCACGCCTCCACGCGCACAAGCACCTCGCCGTCCTTCAGCTCCGGCACTGCCGCCTCCACGCACTTGAACGCTTCATCCTTGCCCTCAAGCACCATGCGCGTGTACGTCGCCATAACGCCTGCAGTGTTGTTGGTTGTGAGTGGTCACGAAGGACAGGCTGGGTGAAGAGCGTCCTTGAAGGTCTTTCGTAATTGTTATACTTCTCTGTGTGTCGTGTGTCGTGCCACCATTTTGCACGTCAGCAGACGAGAGAGCAAAGACAACAACGCACACAAGCACACGTCCATCACACGTGGTCAAGGCCCTACCCCTACCCCACGGCTCCCCGCTTCCGCGGCTCCCCGCTTCCAGACACGACAGCATGCTGGCTGAGTTCTTGAAGGAGATACAGCTGTACCATGTGGTACACCTGTTGACGCTCGTCTGGTTTCCCATTGCGCGCCTGACGTCCTTGAGGTTCATCTTCTTCCCAGATGCCACACCAAACCTCGATTCGGTGCGTGTGTGTGCGTGTGTACCTGTGTGTGCACATGTGTGTATGCGTGTGTGTGTGTGCGTACAACTACATGCACACACGTGTGCGCGGGCGTGCCTACAATTGCGTGCACGTACGTGTGTGCATTCTGCCGTCGGAACGTCGGCAATGTTAACGCGAATGCGCGCTTACTCTTGATCTCTGTTGTTGCAGGACGAGATTCAGGCGCTGAGCCTGCTCGGCGTCTACCTGTTCATTCGCGCTCGCAGATCAGGTAGTCGCTGTGACTCTAACATGCACACGTCCTCATGTCCAGCGCTCTCTTGCATCCAGCATGCTCTCAGCACCTTGCTCACCGATGAACAAACACGTGTGTGTGTGTGTGTGTGTGTGTTTGTTTGTTGCAGGGTCCTTTGATGCGTTTGTTGGACAGGTCTTCTTTGCCAGCAAGGCCGCGCTGTGCGTCATCCTGTACCGCCACAACCTAGCCATGGCCATCTTCTACCTGGCCATCTGCACAAGTGCGTGTGTGTGTGTGTGTGCAATGCGTTTGGGTGTGTGTGTGCAATGCGTTTGGGTGTGTGCGTGTGTGTGTGTGTGTGTGTGTGCGTGTGTGTGTGTGTGTGTGTGTGTGTGTGTGTGTGTGTGTGTGTGTGTGTGTGTGTGTGTGCTCTTCACGTCACCGTCTGAGCGGTCGTCACCTTGCGAAGCTCCAGAAAACTCATATGCTACGGCCATTAATGTATCTGAGATCCCGTCTACAACCGTTTCAGTCAAAACACTGGCTTGTGTAGGCCGCGCGGCGCTGTTGGGCGGTTAGTTCGATTTATTTTCCACATAAATTCTGATAAAGCTCGTTATCGGTAAATGCAGTCCTGCATCCGATTGTGCACGATTCTCGACAACATCTGCCACGTACACGTGCCTCACCACACTTTCATCTCCACTCACACACTGGGGCCTTGTGCAGTTGTGTCGTTTGTGCTTCCCGCACCGACCGTGGATGCCGACAGCCGCGTGATTTCCGTCAACGGCCCTCGGCTCAGCGTATGTCCAGACTCTGAAGCGCTGCCGTTGTCCTTGTGCGTGTGTGGCTGGTCGTGGTTGAGAACTTGCTTTCACACACTCACGTGAGTGCTTGTTGTTGCTGCGTTCGACCGTCGCATGGTCATACCCCTGACGCCCTCGCATACTCACCGACACACATGCTCACACACACGCACGCACACACACACACGCACGTACACACACACACACACACACACATCCACACTCTATCACCCACCCTTCTTGGCACCCCGTTTCTCGATGCGACCATCAGAACATCCTGCAAGGGCGCGGGCAGGGCGGTAAGGTCCAGTACACCATGGTCGAGTTCTACACCACGTGGTCGTCGCCATGTAACTTTGTTGCCCGGGAGTATGCTGCCATCGCCAAAAAGTGCGTCTTTCTTGCATGTTCACGTGCATGGTTTGTTTACACTCCACGCGCATGTCGTGCTGTTTCCACGTCACTCCCCCGCTGCCACCCGAAGTGCACGCGCACCGCTGTAACCAGAGAACCCATAACCGTCTCACTGCAACTCAAACCCCACCCCATCCCCCCTTCACAGGTACGGGAGCCCGCACATGAAGTTTGTAAAGGTGAACGCGAGCACACATCCGGCGCTAGCACGCAAGTACAACGTGTCCGTTGGCGTGCAGTCGAAGCAGCTGCCGTCGTTTATCCTGTTTGCAGACGGACAAGAGATTGCGCGGCGCCCGCGTGTTCTCAGCGGCGGCAACATCGAGCCCTGCAAGTTCAGCGAGGTACATCCATCTTGGTCGCAGAGAGATAGAGAGAGAGAGTGTGTGTGTGTGTGTGTTTGTGTGTGTGTGTGTGTTGCGCTGTGTAGTGCCGTGCACCTTACTGCTTTTCCCTTCACCACCATCACCTCGTCTTCACATTATCAACTTCACCACCACCACCACCACGACCACCTCAACTGCTGTCACTTCTGCTGCTTGTGTGCAGGCGTTTCTTGAGGAAGAGTTCTCGCTGGTTGTTCGTCACACGGGCGAACGCGCTGACGGTGACCGCGCACCCCGTCGCCGTGGTGGCACAGACGTTGGTGATGATGCCAAGGAGAGCAAGAAAGGTATGTGGCTTGTCGGCAATGAGTTGTGGCTGTGGACTTGGTGTGGTGATGACAATTGCAGGCCTGTCATGTTTCGTTGATGTGTTGCCTGTGTCACCTGTTTTGCTGCCAACGTTGTCCCTCACACACATTCATTGCCCTTTTGTTCGTTGTGGATGCACGCAGATCAATGATGGCACGGAGCGCGTGCACACACACACACACACACACACATACACACACATAGACGGTGTGCATCTGTTGAGCAAAGCCATCCAGCGTCTTTCGTCTCGTCTCGTCTTCATATGTTTGATTCAATTACACGACTGCAAAGTGTTGCACGCATGCGCACATGGCATTGGCAAAACAGAAGCAGCATTTTTGGACAGAGAGACACAGACAGGCAGTGGCAGGCATGGGGGAAGACAGGAGAGAAAGGGGGGTTGACACAAGTAGACAGAAACTGCTGTACACAAGTACACACACATGAGAGAAACGCACAAGCACACACACACACACACACTCACTCACTCTCTCTCTCTCACACACACACACACACACACACACACACACACCAGTTTTAACTCAAAGCAAAAGCAAGCAAGTCATAGTCATTCGATCAAAAGCGACGGTAACCTAAAATAGTGCACAAGGGAAGATGGGACACAAGACAAGAGGGCATTTAAATCAAGGAGGAAGGCGTGGATGCAAGGAAATGCACGTGCACACGAGCACGTACACGCGCCTGCACGCCCACACGTTGCCTGCAGGCACGGGTGCTGTGCAACATCATTGCCAGCGCCGCTGCGTGTCGTCGTCATCTTCGTCCATGGAGTCTGCATCGAGAAACTCCATCTCATCCTCCTCCTCACCACCAGTCGTGTCGCTCTCAGCGGGGCGCTCGCCATCCTGGTGGTCAAAAGATGGCGGGGAGAAGGATGAAAGGTAAGGGAGGCGGTTGGAAGAGGGAAGGGGGGGGGGGCACGGCGAACGCGATGAGCGAACGTTGAGCATGTGAGAAGATAACACACACACACACACACACACACACACACACACAACGTACACACACACACACACACACACATTCACATACAGCGGAGGAGCACGCGTATCGCCACAGCTCACGTTTGTTGCGTTGTGCGCGCCCTCGGTGGTCTCCTCATCGAGTGCCATCAGCGTTTCCTGCACACCCATTTTGGACATGGTCATGCGCCGGTCATATGGCTTGGATGTGTCGCGCAGGAACTGCAGTATTCCCCCCGGGCACAAGTGAACAAGCCAGCGGTTGCAAGGGCAGACGTTGAGCGTGAGTGAGCAAAGCCAATGTCGAAAACACACGCGACGACGCTCTCACAATGACAACAAACAACCAAAACCCCACATGCACACACACACACGCAATCACACAACACACACACACACAACCACCCGCAAACAAACACCACACACCGATGATTGCGCTTTGACGGAGCCGCTGGAAAAAGAGGGTTTAAACTCGGAGCACGACTGCCGTAAGATGGACTCCCACTGCTTTGCTGCGTCACGGGTCTGGGCGACCATGTAGTAGGTTCGCCGTTTTGTCTTGAGCGCGAGCGTGGACTTGCTGTCGCGGGAAGGCGGGTACCTGCTGTCTGGCCAATGCACGGAGACTCCCGTGTTGCGGGCAATGCTCTCCTTGCCACGGTAGACGTTGAGGCACTCGCTCAGCTTGATGACGCCCTTGACTTTGGCCGAGTAGTCTGTGTCCGAGGTGTCCTTGGCAAACTTGAAGTAGATTAAGTGTGTCTTGGTGATCTCAAACCACCGCAGGTTCCAGTTCTTGCGCAGGCCTCCCCGTTTCATCATCAAGCCCATGTACAGGACGTGGCCCTGCTGGGACTTGCTTCGCCGGTCCATTCCCCAAAGCGCTGCGCCCGCATCCACACATACACCACACGTGACACCAATGCACACCGCGTCACTGGTGTAGGCCTCACGCACACGCAGGCGGTGGGGTGATGTGCGTGTGAGCGACGCTGCTGGGGGGTGGTGGCGGTGGCGGTGGCAGGGTGTGCTTCTTGCAGTGGTGCTCGTGTTGGTTGGTGGGTGTGTGTGTTTGTTTGTGTGTGTGTGTGTGTGTGCTGATGATGCGTATGTTGCAAATTGCATCATCTGCAAATTGCAAATTTGCACCACAGACGACGACGACGAACAAGGATGGCTGGGAGTGAGTTGTGGGATATGGGTGTGGAGGAGGGGTGCATGGATGGGATGTGTGTGTGTGTGTGGGTGGAGGGTAGTCGTGCATGAATGGGATGTGTAGGTGAGCATGCACCGTGCATGATGCCCCTTGCTTGTTATCGTCATTGCTCACTGTGGTTTTCGTCGTTTTGTCTCGGTTGCAGGACCACAAGATGCACGGCTGAAGAAGCTGCTCACAGGTGCGTGTTTGTGTGTGTGTGTGTGTGTGTTTGCATGTTTGTGTTTCGTTTCTGTGTGTGTTTGTTGTGTACTTTCCGCTTGCCATGTTCGATCACCTGTGTTCATGCTCGCCCTCATTCATACACCACCAACACCTCTGACACCTCCTACACCCACGCCACCATCACCTCATGATGATCATCATCACCCACACCACACAGCCTTCAATGTGCTGGACCACTGGCCCAAGCTGGAGCAGCGGGGCGTGCGCAACGTGTTTGCTCTCGCAAAGCTCTCAGACCAAGAGCTCGTCGGCCTCCTACACCTCGATCAGTCGCAGCTGCGCAAAATGCGCGCCGTCCTCACCAAGCTGGAAGGTACTGTGTGTGTGTGTGTGTGTGTGTGTTGTGTGAAAGTGCTGTGTGTACTGTGTGTACTGTGTGTGTGTGTGTGTGTGTGTGTGTGTGTGTGAAAGTGCGTGTGCGTTTGATGTGTTGTATGCGTGCACTCTGTGTCGCGTACTGTGCGTTGCTTGACGTAGAGTTCTCACCCTTTTTGCCTTGTGGGTGTCTCAGCTGCCCGCGCACAGCATCGTGGGGAACAGCAGCAGAAGAGAGCATCTGCAAATCCACAGGTACGTCAACCCACGCACGACTCCCATGACAATGCATACATGAACATGCACGCAGAAGCTCTCACGTGCCATCATCTCACGTTGGCATCAACTCCTCGCGCCTCAATCGCACACACTCACACTCACACTCACACACACACTCACACACACACACACACACACACACACACACACACACACACACACACACACACACACACACACTCACACAGCGCAAGTCGCAACAGTCAGAACAGCAGCAGCAGCAGCCACAACAACACCGCGGCCCAGCCGGTGTCCAGCGACGATCCCATGCCGGTACAGCAGCAGCAGCAGCATCATCGTCGTCGTCGTCGTCAAATCGAAACTCGCGCGTGCTCAATCTTGCGCCCGCCCCCGGCTTCTCCGGCCCCATTGACGGCGCCCTGCACCGCGTGCCGTCTCGGACACAGCGCGGACCACCGAGCCGTGGCAGCGGCGGGTTGCCTGCAGGCACGCGCCAGTCGCGCAAGTCATATGACATGCGCAGTCCGCCGAAGAAGGCGTCGTCGTCATCGTCAGTGAAGACACGATCTCGCCCTTCAAAGGCCGCGCAGTACACGGCGCAGCCACTACGCAGGTGTGTGTGCGCGTGTGTATGTGTGTTGAGGTGTGTGTGTGTGTGTGCCGTCTTCTTTGTACCAACGTTTGAGGAACAACACGTGCACAGGCATCTTACATCCGCACATCTATGCATCGTCGCATTTTCTCATCACCATTGACAGGAGCCTGTGGGACTTTGACTTTGACGTGGATGTACTGCCCACTGTCGTGTGCGAGTGCTGGGCGACGAAATGTGGCGGCAAGGTGTGTGCGTGGTGTGTGTGTGTGTGTGCGTGTGGTGTGTGTGTGTGTGTGTCTGTGTGTCTGTGTGTCTGTGTGTCTGTGTGTGTGTCTGCGTGTTGTGCGTGTGTGTCTCAGTATCGTGACCCTTTCCCGCAGTGGCAACGCATGTGGTGCTGCTGTCATCCTTCTTCCATTCCATCACCACCACAGTGATCGTCACGACCGCCATCATGCATTTCATCACCGCCAATCCCACGCAGGTGAAGTCGTGGCAAAAGCGGTACTTTGTGCTGCGCAATGACGGCTCGCTCACATACAGCAAAGAAGGTGAGACAGCATCGAACGTGGCCGTGTTGCGAGTTGGAGTGATATTGCGGGTGTCGTCGTTGCTGCTAGCGCTGTCGCTGCGTGTGGTGGTGGTGAGCAAAACACAACACACACACACACTGCACACACACACACACTGCATCTCACAATGTGTCTCACGCACGCGCTCTCAAACCTTCTCCCCCCTCGCCACAACACCAGGTGCGCTGAGCGACCACAAGGGCGTGATTGACGTGCGTGATGCGACGGTGATCAACGGTCCTGGATCGTGCAATTGGCTCAAGGAGGACGGGGCGCCGCCAGCCGCCGAGCCGTCAAAACGCGTTGAGGTGGGGTGCTGTTATATATATATGTGTGTGTGTGTGTGTGTGTGTGTGTGTGTGTGTGTGTGTGTGTGTGTGTGTGTATGTGTGTGTGTGTGTGGGTTTGTTTGTTTGCTTGTTTGTTTGTTTGTTTGCTTGTTTGTTTGTTTGTTTGTGTGTTTGTTTGTTTGTTTGTTTGTTTGTTTGTTTGTTTGTTTGTTTGTTTGTTTGTTTGTTTGTTTGTTTGTTTGTTTGTTTGTTCGTGTGTCTGTCTCTGCTTGTCTCTGTCTGTCTCTGTCTGTGTCTGTGTATATGTACCCATGGCATTGCACACTTCTGCCAACAGTTTTGTTGTTGCTTCGTTGCCATCTCTTTGCATCACCTGCAATTTCCTCATCATCGATGCCCACACCCGTTTGCCTGCATGCATTTGTAACCGTGTGCACGTTCATGTGCGCATGTTCACGTCGTGTGTGCATGTGTTCAGATTGTGACCCCTGTGCGGACCTTCAAACTGTTCTGCGACACGCAGGCCGACGCCACGATGCTCCACTCCAAACTGCAGGAGGTGAAACGCAATCAGGGATGAGAGTTGCGACTGTGTTCACGTTGGCGATCATCACAAGCCGGCCTGTTTTGTGTTGGCGCGTGCACGCTGTGTTGACACCACGCACACGCACACGCGCACACGCGCGCGCACTTCCTTCGAAAGGCACTCACACTGTCGCACGCCCCTCACCCTTCACCCCCACATCACCCCACGGCAGGTGTGGAAGTACTGCAAGCGGGCGAAGAAGCGGGCGCCGTTGACGGAGCGGGACATTGCTGGTGGCGAAGGATACCAGCGCATGCTGGCAGAGGTGGCACACGTCATGACCGCACAGTGAACACATGCACACATGCACGCACGCACGCACACATGCACACACGCACACGTGTACACACATGTACGTGTACTGATTTGTTTTGCTTTTCCACGATGTTATTCTTTGTTATCCCTTCGCCCTTTTGAATGATGTGATCCTTTGCGAATCGAACACACAGCCATTGAAACCTGCGTTTATTTGCTTAAGAGAGGTGAGGAAGGCAGAAGAGACCACGCAAACACGCGCGCGCACACGCACACACACACGCAAACACAAACACAAACACACACACACGCAAACAATAGCAATGGCACCAACACGTGCACACACCGCCAGCCCGCCAACACGATCAACAGTCTTGGTCTCAATTCAATGGCCGAAACAACAGAGCAACGCAGGACCGGAAACAACACCATTGGTGCGAAACACTTGATGTAACCTGGGCGCAAGTGACGCAGCAGCAACGCAAGCTCGCAACGACGATTGCAACATTTCGCTGCTTGTCCAACAGGCTGCTTCTCCAACAGGCAGCCCCAACTCACACACACACACACACACACACACACACACACACACACACACACACACACACACACACACCACGTGGGTGCAGTGCCTACTGCCGTTGCTGTGCTGAATGCATCTCCAGCATCTCCACGTCATTGCTGCGGTTGCGGTCAGCGCGTTGTCCTGGCGTGCTCACACCACCATCACCATCATCATCACCATCATCACCATCATCATCATCGTCATCGTCAGGGTCGTTGCCATGATCAAGGGCGACAGCCGGCAGCGGCGCGTGTGTGTGTGACATGGGGAGGTCTGGCAGGTGTGCCGGCGTGTGGTGCAGTGGCGGCAGTCGCGGTGGTGCTGCCGACGACGACGACGACGACGACGATGATGATGATGGTGCCAGTGGGGCCGATGCAGGGCCCTGCTGGTGTGTGCGGTAAATGTGTGTGTATGTGTGTGTGTGTGTGTGTGTGTGTGTGTGTGTGTGTGTGTGTGTGTGTGTGTGTGTGTGTGTGTGTGTGTGCACAAGTGCAGAACAATACAAGTAGGAGCGTGAGAAATGAAGCAATTGTCATGAGGTCAAGGCAAATTCATGCCTGCAAGCACCGCATCAGCTCACCCGTTGACCACCACCACCACCACCACCACCACCACCACCACCAGTGGTGTGCACCTCCGTGTGTTCGCGTTGTCGCGACGGTGACGAAGATGGTGACGGCTGCACGTTGATTGTCGTGCGCGTGAGGGATGACGATGATGATGACGACGACGAGTCTGTTGACGCGCGCGTGTGCACACCATCGTCTCCTCTGCTCATATCCAGCAGCTCCACCTGCTCACTGCCATTGCCACCACCGCCGCTAATCTCGTCAATCGTGGCTGCTGTGAGCGCGGTGGTCGCTGTTGTGACGCTGCCATCGCCGTGTCCCGTGCTCTCCTCAAGCTGTCGTGACGACATCGACGACGACGACGCACGACTCGCACCACGTCCACCACCATCACCATCGTCACCATCGTCGCCATCAGCAGCGGCGACAGTGAGGTAGCCGCTGCCACCACCGCTCGTGCTCGGACGAGAGTGCAGGGCCTCCACGATCGGAACAGCGCAGTACCCGGCAGGTGTGTCCTCCTGCCCGTCCTTGGAGGGGGGGGGATGGTGCGAGAAAGAGAGAGAGAGCGTGTGTGTGTGTGTGTGTGTTGTGTGTGTGTGTGTGTTGTGTGTGTGTGTGTGTTGTGTGTGTGTGTGTGTGTGTGTTGTGTGTGTGTGTGTGTGTTGTGTGTGTGTGTGTGTGTGTGTGTGTGTGTGTGTGTGTGTGATGAGAACGACGATGGATGATGGTTCACTTTTCACTTCAACGCAACGAGAGCACACCACCACCACCACCACCGCCACCACCAATGGTGGCCAACTCACGGCATGCTCCTCCAGCTGCTCTTCGCTGAGGTCCTCGACGCGTTTCGCGACCTGCAGCCGCAGCACCGAATGGAACGCGGCCCGGCAGATCGGACACTTGCTTGACTGCGGTGTACGGTGGCAGCATGTGTCCCGGGTGGTGTTTGGTGTGGCGTGGTGTGACGTGAGGTGCGTGAGGAGTCGTGTGATGCATGTTGTTCGAGTAACGCGCGTATCTCTGCGCGTGCGAAGAACAAGAGCGAAGGGCGCAAAACACGCACACACACATACGCCACACACACATACACACACGCACACACATACACACACACATCAAAAGGACAAGTGCGATATGCTGGCAGTTGCGTCGTGTGCGGCTGACCTGAAATCGAAGCACTTCCGCGCAGTCGTTGCACAGGCAGAGATGGCGGCACGGCAGCACCATCGTGTCCATCGGGGAGGACATGCACACCTGGCGCGACGCCAACAGGGCACGCGGTCACGTACGGAGCGGTAGGGAGTGGGGGTGGTAAGGCGTGAGATAACGCACACACACACACACACACGCACGCACACGCATGCACACGCACATGCACACATGTACGCACGCACGCAAACACATACAGCACACATGTACACGTGCACGTACCACACAGTCGTGATCGGTTTCGTCATCGCTGTCCGCGTCGCTGAACGCCGCACCGCCCGCCGTTGCATCACCATCACCATCACCATTGCCGTTGCTGTCTTCCTTCTGCTCAAGACCGTAGATCTCACGCAGCAGATATGTCGTGCCGTCAATCTAAACACACACACGCACAGGATGAGGTACGTGAGATCAAAGTTAGAGGTACAGGGATCATGCGCTTGTGTGTGTGTGTGTGTGTGTGTGTGTGTGTGTGTGTGTGTGTGGTTTAGATGAGCAGGCAAAGAATGCAACCTATCCCATGTCATTGCATCATTGCAAACGTACGTGAACTTTCTGCGCGACGACGCGCACTGTGATGGGGGCGTTCTCATCGTCACCCTGATGAATGGGGATGACGATGGAAGTGGTGGGTGATGCAAAATGAGGATGAATATGGTGAGTTGCTTCCGCAGAAACACAGACACAGACACACAGACACAGGCACACAGACACACAGACACACATACACACACACACACACACCGCGCGCGCGAAATCCGACAGTGTACCTTCTCGAATGCGCAGTAGGTGACCTGACAGTGCTTGGTGGAGGAGGAGGCGAGCGAGGACGGGTCGGCGCACACCTCAATGACGAGCGGGAAGAAGAGTTTGCCGTCGTTGATGGTGTAGTCGAGGTCGCCCTGGCTCACCTGATGCAGCCCCTTCAGTGCGTGCGACGGCTCGCCATACGTCTGCCGTGGCCATGGTGGCAGTCGTCGTGGTGATGGTGGTGGTGGTGAGGGAAATGATGGATGAGAACGAGCATGTGAGCAGAGGAGTAGGTGGGGAAGGGTAAAGTTTGAACACAAAATCTCTCGCACAGTAACACATGTACGTACAAGCATACGCATACAGCGTTTGTTGTGCACCTGAGTGAGGCCTGCTTTGAAGTGCTGCGTGTCATCCTTGAGCTGCACATGGCCAGTCGAATACGGACGGAAGCTGGCAAAGTTGGAGCAGCGACGCATATTGTTAGATGGCAACGACCCGAGAGAAGATGGAGGCAAGGTGACCAGCCGAATTGCACCAGCCGGTTCCTTCACTCGCACAGATGAACACCGAAGACAAACGCACACAGTTTCGCCACGCACACGCGCGCACTCAGTGCACACAAAACACACACACCCACACAAGACACACACGCAAGACACACACACACACACACACACACACACACACACAAGACACACACGCAAGACACACACACACACACGTGAACGCACTCGAGAAAGGAGGAGGAGAGAACTTCCTCGGCAAAGAGATGGATCTTGACGGTGCAGTCGCAATCAGCGTCAAAGTTGAAGACGAGATGATACTCGTCCATGGGCCCGTCGCTGTTGGCGTGCCTGGCAACAAGAAGTAGCGCAAGCGCAGATATGGTGAATTTGGGGTTGCAATGCACAACGATCAAGGAACAGAGAGCGAGCAGCGGACATTCAACACGAGTTATGTGCTGTCTCATGTACGCGTCATTGTGGACCGCAGCCGATCACGCAAGGTCCACTCACCTCACAAGCCGGATGGAGTTCTTGTGCACGTTGACGAGCGCACGAAGCGTGTTCGTGTGCTTCACCTGAGGCGGCACCCGCGGCATCTGCAGAAATAGGTGTTATGATAGCGTGAGTTTGTTCATTGCACACACACACACACACACACACACACACACCAGGCCTTGCATACAGACTCCTACACCGTCGCAACACATGCACATCAGGCATGGCGAGATGTTGAGCAGGTCACTTACGGTGCCGGAGATTTGGGAGAGGAAGTTGAGGTCAGCCATGTCACCAAACAGAAACGACTCCGGGGTCATGCTCTGGAACTCTTGTCCCGCCAGCGTAAAGTTCTCCCCAAAGTACACGCCTGTCACAAGCAATGGCGGTCAGCTGAGGATAAGGTTGAAGTCTTCCACAACGCTCATCATCACGCTGAAGCTGGGCACATATCGACTCTGAAGCACCACCACACGCACCAACCCACTCGGAATGGAAACACAAACGAAACCACGGCGCAGCAACGAGGACACAGGCGGTTGCATTTGCCGTCCATCGCCCCACATAACGTGCACGCACGCACATGTCCTCCTCCTACCACTACGCCAAGGGCCCATATGTACCTGAGTTGCCGCCCCTTCGACGACCCCCATTGTTGTTGTTGTCGGCGGCGTTGCGAGCACCACCCTGCTGCGCCAGCACCTGCCCCATTGTTTCGGTTGCTTGCTTTGTGCTGAGCGTGTTGCGATATCGATTGTTGGGGGGCGTTTGCGCGTTCCTCTCGGGAAAACTGAATTCAGTCCCGGAGGTTGTGCGCATGTGTGTGTGTGTGTGTGTGTGTGTGTGTGTGTGTGTGTGTGTGTGTGTGTGTGTGTGTGTGTGTGTGTGTGTGTGTGATATGTGTGTGTGTGTGTCTGTCTGTCTGTCTGTCTGTCTGTCTGTCTGTCTGTCTAACTAGGAAGCCCCGCCTTTGTTGTGCATATGAGCTTGGTCGGCGCGTTTACGTGTGTCGTTCGTTCACTAATCAAGACTTTGATGATGCAACAGCAACAAATTACGCTGTTGTACCTGGCGTGTACGCATGTGAGCTCTGGTTCCATGTACTTGTGCATGAGCTGTACACAACCACCACCACTACGCACACACCCTCCGCTCGCGCATCCACGCTGCCGCTATGATCTGATCTTGCGGGCCATTTCCTTGACGAGCTCGCGCGTGTGCTTTGCGCTGAGGCGCTCGCTGGCCCTGATGGCGTTGACCACCAACACACACATACACGCATACACACAACGCACTCGTGCACACACACCCACAAACACACAACGCGCACCTTTAATCTGGGGCGGTTGCGTTTTGTTGCGCCTTCAAACGCCAGGTTGTGAAGGCTGCAAGGGTCCATCACACGTGCCAGGAGTGCACACACACAATGTTGATGAGCTCCAGCTGATGCAGGACACTTGTACAGAAGCAGCAGCACACACCTTCTCACCCACACGCACATCCACACGCACACAAACGCACACGCACTCCCACAAAAGCACACGCACACCCACACACCCATACACGCTCACTCACGTGGCATTGCAGGAGCCGCCAATATCCACGTTGTAGTTTTCGCCAGGCGTGCCCGTGATGATCCCAATCACATAATCGCCTTCAGCCGGCAGCGCCTACACGCAAGCACACCACAACATGAGATGATCACGACATGAAACAAGAGGAGAGTCAGAGTTGAAGTGAACCCTTGATGGAGCAATTGCAGCAGTGAATTTGTGCGTGCACGAGCGTGTACATACACATTCACATACACAAGCATTTGCACACATTGAAACACACACATACACATACACATACACACACCAACTTACGAATGTGCACACTTTTGTACATATGCAAAAGACACCCTCATTACTCCCCTCTCCACCCTCTCCATTCCCCTCTCTCCTCTCCCCACTCCATCCAAACACACACACACAACACACAACACACAACACACACAGCAGCAACGATGACAATCGCACCCGCTTGTGGACGCCGTCGACCCAGACCATGTTGCCCTTCCTGCGCAAATCGCCGGGCACCACCACCTGCAACATCGCCGTGTTGCCGCTGCTGCTAGCGTCGCCGTCAAGGACGCCTGCGGCGCGCAGCTGTGTCTCTGGGATCACTGTCAGGCCCGGCCCTATCCTCAGCGCGGCGTCCTTCTCCCCCTTCACCTCCACGGGTGCCACCTCCACCGTATCGCCTGGTGCCACAAACACGTCGTCCCCCACCGCAGCCGCTTCAACGTGCACCATCGCTTCGCCTGTCGCCTGTCGCACAACCAAAGTTGGGAAAATTTGTTGGCAGCAACGCAAATGTTCATTACATTTAATGCTGTTGTGGACGGTGTTCGTTTGGCGCGCTTCCCGCAAACCACCAATCCCAGCACCCATCGACATCTACATCATGGATGACAGGTTGACGCAGCTGCCTGTGAGCCGCATCAAAGCGGCCATGCGCAAGGACCCGGACGTGCAGCTCGTCGCACCAGAGGCTGCGGTGCTCATCGCAAAAGCAACAGTGCGTGTAAATGTGCCGTGGAACAACTGCACAAATGCCAGTGGTGAATGTGTGGCGTGTGCTGATCAACGTTACTTGCCGTCTCTCACGCGCTGGCTTTGCTGCACGTCGTGCCATGTCTCATGCGTGTGTGTGTGTCTGACAATAACACTACCAGGAGCTGTTCATCGCGCACATGGCGCGCTGCAGCTTCGACCGTGCACAGCAAGTCGCACCGAGGCGAAAAACAGTGCAAACCAAGGACATTGGTCCGTCCCTGCATACTGCAATGGCTTTGCTGGCTTTGCGTGCTGACTCGGGTCCTCCCTTGCCTGTGCGTGTCGCTCGCGGCTGCTCAACCGCTTCCTCCTTCCTACGACACGCACTCACTACCCCCTCCTCTCCTGCGCTTGGTGTTGCATGTGCTTGCATGATGACAGAACACGTCCTGGAGTCGAAGGAAGAGTTTCTGTTTCTTGAAGGTGAGAAGCACCACCCTTGCTTGAGAGCTGTTGTTCGTGCGTGTTGTTGTCTTTTTATGAACGACATTCTCCACGCACTGCTTGCTTCAGATGGCGTAAGCTGACTTAGGTGCGTGTGCGTGCCTGCACCCCACCTTATTCTTTGACAGGCATTCAGCTTTGGACAAAGAAGAACAGCGGCGGGTCGATTCGGCGGCACGCCGCGCCCAAACACACCACCAACGACGACAACGATGACAGCGATGATGACAACGACAATGAGGACAGCAGTGCCACTGTCATTGCGATGGACGAGGATGAGGGTGATGAAGCGACTGGCGACGCAGAGATGGACACGAGTGTTGATGAGGGTGCATTGGACGGTGTTGAACGTGCGCTAAACGGGGACATCGAGGAAGGCAGTGAAGATGAAGATGATGATGAGGAGGAGCACGAGGAGGAGTAGGAGCAGTGGATACAGAGCACCATCTCATCGTTGAGTGTGCATCTTTGTTACTTTCCTTGCTTTTGCTTCGGCGCATGACGCACCCTCCTCCTCACTTTGTTGCATTTGATTTGATTTGACCTAATAAACGCATCCCATCCCTTACATCAGATCAGAGCAGTGTGTGTGTGTGAGTGTGTGAGTGTGTGTGTGTGTGAGTGTGTGTGTGTGTGTGTGTGTGTGTGTGTGTGTGTGTGAGTGTACATGGCATGCTCTAATCTTTTGCATATCAAATCACCACTGTCAAACGATAGTTCCTGATGTACTGCTGATACCCGATGTACAGAGAGGGAAGTCAAGACGAAGAGACAGACTGGCTTGCCGTTCTCAAATTCACACACACACGCACACACACACACACACGCACACACACACACACGCACACACGCACACACACATATGTAGTCACGACAAATCTGATTACACAATAGAAAAAAAAAAGGAGCTGCGTACACGTCACCACAGCACACACACACACATCCACCTACGAATCACACCTGCATGAATCAACCTGCTAATGCCTTCTCAACCATCTCCAGCACACAAACACAAATGCACACACAAATGTATGCACAATCAATCAAACACACACAACACATCACATTACATCGCATCACATTACACGTGTGACGTCAGCGGGCGAAGCGCTCGAGTGCGCGGCGAACGGACTTGACATCCGGATAATTCTGGTCCTCCAGGTATTCGATAATCTGCCGCGTCAGGGCTTGCTTGCTGGCATTCAGCAGCCACCCGCCCTCTGGCTGGTCGCATCCATCCACGGTTGGCATGCCGCCTACACGCCCCGCCGCCTCGGAGAACGCGCTCCACTTGCTGGTGAACAGGCGCGACGTTGTGCTGAGCAGGTACAGGTCCGCTGCTGCATACAGCATGCACTCGGGGGTTCGGGAGGTGCACTCGTGCGAGTCGAGTCGAAACACGCGGCCCTTGAGCTCGGGGTGGGCGGCCATCGCATCAAACGCAGCAGGGGTGTCCGTGCTGATGAAGAAGTGTGCCGCGCGTGGCAGCCTGCGTATGCGCTGCTCAAAGAAGCGATAGTGGCACGACACGCGAAACGCCACCGCCAGCTGCATGCGAAGGGCCTCCTCCCCCGTCACACCGGGGGTATCTGCCGTCATGTTGGCGAGCATGCGAATGTGCACGCCGACAAACGAGCGGTGCGCGCGCTCCGGGTTGTCGACGCCGGCCTTGGCGAGCGAATCATAGTACTCGTTGAGCACGTGTCGCACCCCGCTCGCAGGCCGGAACACAAGCGACCTGGCCAGAACATGGAGGCGGCGGTGAGGAGGGGGGAGGGTGAGGGGGGTTGGACGGAGGTGGTTGGAATGGGAAGCATTGTGAGCAGGAGGGTTGGCATTTGACGAACAACCGCATGGCGTAAGGTGAATGCACACACACACACACACACACCACACGCACACACACACACGCGGACGCATGCACACACACACACACACACACACACACACACACACACACACACATACACACACACACGCGCGCGGACGCACGCACAATACAACCGAACACAGACAACAAAACTGTCAAACACTGACGAGCAAACCCAAGAAAGCAATGTAACGCGCTCGCCCACCTGATGTGAAGGGCGTCCGTGTCGCCATATCCAAGTTTGCTGTAGATCTTAAACGCCGAGCGCACGTAAATGTGGTTATCGGAACTTCCGTCCACCCGCATCTGCTTGTTTTCCGGCACCATGAGGTCATACACGTCAAACCTGGCCAGCGTCGCTACCTCTCGAATCGCCTCGTCCTCCACCACAATCACGCTCTTGGGCAGCGTGTACAGCTGCTCCATGCGTGCGTAGCAGTGGGCGTTTGGCACCCACAGCACCACCAGCTGGCGTGCAGATGCGTCTGCAATTGCCTTGGCCGACCCATATGCCCGCAGCCTGTTCGTCAAACCGTATTCCGTCTCCACGAGCAACGCGCGCTGGCCGAGCGGGGAGAGCAGCATGGTACCGATGACATAGAGCGTGTACGGGGACGTGATGCGGTCGACAAACGACTTGGGCAGCGGCAGCCCGCGCGCCTGCTTGTGAGAATGCGTCTGCAATGAACCCAGGAACGTGGAGTGGAGATGTGTGTGTGTGTGTGTGTGTGTGTGTGTGTGTGTGTTGGGGTGGGGGTATGAGTGTAGGGGTGACTGGAAGGTGGGCATGATGGAAAAAAGCAATGGGCAACAGCCATCGAGAACACACACACACACACACACACACACACACACACACACACACACACACACACACACACACACACACACACACACACACACACACACACACACACACATCACACATCGCATCATACCAGGAGTTCGCGCAGGGCGGCGTCCTCGGCGGGGGAGATGTCACCGTTGCGGCGGGCGGCGAGCGGCCACTGGCTCAACTCGTCGTGCAGCCGCTGCTTCGCTTTCGCAATCACACGCGCCCTGGATGGCACCGTCGTTGTGGTGATGGGATGGTGGTGGTGGAGAGAGAGAGAGGTGAGACGAGGAGTGGTGGCATGGACGCGTGCAGGCATGCTGTGCGAAGAAGTGAAAGAACATGCGCAGATACACACGTAAACACACGCACAAGCAAACACACACACACATCAATACAAACACGCAAACACGCAAACACACATATCAATACAAACACACGATGTACCTTGCACCCTTTGGGTGTGGCGGGTCGAGGATGTGTGACGGCGGCAGCTCGGATGTAGACACGCTGCGCCGGTCACGCTCGTTCGGGAGCTCAACAGACTGCACCTCGTCGTGCTGGGTGTTGAGTATGACCATGGTGGCCGTGGGCGGGCCGTTGTCGATGGTCTTCAGGCCGTACATGACTTGTTCGTCCTTGTGCGTGACGAGGGGCACCTCGAGGCGCTCTCTGAGGTAGGGGAGCCACTTCTGCTTGATGTTTGTGCCGGCCTCCACGCGCGGGGTGGTGAGGGACTTGTGGTCCGGCAGGTTGATGCTGATGAGGAACAGGCCCTCCTCCCACATGAACCGCTGCAGGTACTTCTTTGCGCTGCGCTCCGCGTCCCACGTGTTGCTCCACGCGTGCGGGATAAACGGGTCCAGCCGGCTGTGGTCCACGTACCAGCGCAGGTAGCGCGCATATGGCGCCGCCACAAACACCGTGCCCCAGCTGCACGGCTCCTGGATCTTGAAGGGCATGTTGTTGTTGTTGACGGGCCGCTCAAACCGCTGGTTCACCTCGTCCCACTTCTGGTTGTACAGCTTGTACCCGAGCACGCTCGGGTCCTGCTCCTCGCCCTCCCCGTACCGCCGCACAAAGTGCTCGGCATACACAAACAGCATCTCCGACACCTCAATGTCGTCCTCGAGAAACATGGCGTACTCCCCCTCCACGGGCGCCCACGCCTCCAGCATCGTCGCCCGCAGGCCCTTTGGCGACGCAGCAAACACCGCCGTCACGGGGCCGTGCGCCGTCGTCGTCCCAGACAGGCCCGACGCAACCGTCACCTGCTCCTTCCACGCCTCGCTCTCCTCCCGGTCGTAGTCCACGTGGATCACAAAGTACGTCGGCATGCCGCTTGGCCGCGCAGCCATCAGCTGCCCCCACAGCCGCAGAAAGTTGTCCGGTCGGTTGAACCCAAACACGTGCACGGAGAGGCGAACGCCTGCGTGCTGCTGTCCCTGCCGCGTGTCGATACCTTGCAAGCGTCGGCGCTGCTGGTGTAGCAAAGGCAGATCTGCCCGCGGCGCAACATGCGGGCTGCTGACGGTGGCGGTGTTCAGGGTGCTGGTGTTGTCAGAGTGTGTCGGCGCAAGTACACCCGTCAGCTGATGCTGCTGCCGCCGCTGTTGTTGTTGTTGTTGTTGTGAAGTGTCGGCGGTAACTGGCACGGCCAACGCCGGCGATATGAGCAGGACCAGCAACAACGCCATGGCCGCCACAAGTAGAGGCGACCGCATCCGAGATGATACTGGTGCTGAGGACGGCGGTGGATTGCAAGCAAGGGGAGTGCAGCCCTGTGTGAACTGCTGCCGTTGCCGTGGTCCTTTGCGGCGATGTGAGGATTGCTTATGATGATGGTGGTTGGCAAGACTGTGAGGCGAGTCGGTCACGAACGCGTCATTGGCTGTTCGTTGCGGGTGGTGCTGCTGATGATGGGTGTGGCTGCACCTTTGGTGCGGGTGGTGTCGTGCCTGTTTTGCCTGTTGCGATTGCTGTGACTGTTGTGATTGCTGTGATTGCTGCGATTGCTGTGATTGCCGTGATTGACAACCGTCCGTGCCACCACAAGCCCGCCGACGCCTCTGAAATGGATGTGCGCTGTCGTCGCTACCTAGCCTTTTGGGTGTGTCCTCTGTCTTGGCTGTTCCTGGTGGTGGTGATCTGTCTACAAGCCCATCTGAAGAAGCGGCCGTTGACAACAACGCAGGCGGCATCGTCGCTTGTTGCTGTCGTGGCTGCCGCCGCTGTCGTCGCTGTCGTTCCTTGTCGCTCGTTCACTCTGATGATCAAACCACCCACACCCACCCTGTTCCTGTCGGCACACTGTTGTTGTGTGTTGTTGTTGTGTGTTGTTGTGGGTGCGCGTGTTGGTTTTGCTCTGTTGTGCTGTTGTGCTGGCTTGGTCGTGCTTTCCAACCACCACCAACACATTCGCCACATTCCCTGCGCATGAAAAAATAAAAACTGCGATTGATTCCGTGCACATTTACAGCATCGAATAAGGACAGCCGAAAAAAAGTCAAGCACAACGGATTTGGATTTGGTGAGTTGGTGCTGGTGTGCGTCGCTGTTGCTCGCTCGTGCTGTGCTGTGGTGGTTTGACGTTGTTCCTCGACTTGACTTGCCCTCGGCAAACACTCACGCATACATGCTACACTCACGCTGTGCCAACAATAGAACAAGGCAAGATAGCCGCGCAGTGCTCGAGGTGTCCGCTCACACTCACACTCACAATACCATATGCATGCACTCATTCATCGCCGGTTTCTTTGTTTGTTTGTTTGTGTGTATGGATGCTTTGCTTGTTGTGATTCAGCGGAACGACACGAACAAAAAGTGAACCACCAGATCAGCAATGTCATCGACCGTGTTCAACGTGGAGCGCCGGCCCGGCGAGAAGTTTGGCATGGCCGTGCAGCGTTTCCTCGTCACCAGCGTGCGTGCGTGTGTGTGTGTGTGTGTCTATGTGTGTGGGTGTGGGTGTGTGGGTGTGGGTGTGGGTGTGGGTGTGGGTGTGTGGGTGTGGGTGTGGGTGTGGATGGGTGTGCTTTGTGTGTGTGCTGTAAACTTATTTGGTTTTCTCTCCTCCTCAACACCACACCTCACTCCTGCGACACTCATGCGTTATGTGCAGGTGACACCCGGCGGCCCAGCGGATCGAGCTGGTGTGAAGAAAGGCATGAGGTTGTCGCAAATCAACGAAACAAACATCCAGCAGCTGGTACGGTGGCTGTGAAACCATGTGTGACAAAGGATCGTTGGGGTGCTCCACGTGTATCGTGACCTGACATGTGTGGTTTGCCATTGAGTATGATTTGGGGGTGGGGGCGGAATGAGCACTTCAACCTGCCTCGTTCATACACAAGACCATCCACGCATCCGTGCACACATGCACGCACACACACACATGCACGCGCACACACGCGCACACACACACACACACATTCTTACGCCCTGTCTCTTTCTCACTCGTACACACGCAGACGCACATGCAGATTACAGGGCTGATCAAGGCCAGTGGAAACACGATGAAGCTGATTGTGGGCACGCCGGAGGTGGCGCCTGCCAAGGTTGCTGCCACTGCACCAGCACCGGCTGCTCCAGCCGCCAATACAACGCCTGCGCCACCTGCAGCAAAGGCTGCACCAGCAACAGCAACGACATCAGCACCACCTGCGCCAGCACAGCCGGCACAGCCTGCGGCCGCTGCTGAGGAGAAGAAAGAGGAGACACCGCAGCCACCGGCACCAGCACGGGCCGCGCCAGAACCCAAGAAGGCAGCACCAGCACCAACGACCACCACGTCCACCACTAATGGCAGCAGCGGTGCAAACGGCAGCAGCAGCAGCGCTAAGACTGCGGCGCCGGCACCATCGAGTGGGCCGTCCAATCCGCAGAAGCAGCGCGTGCCGCCATCAACAACAGCAGAACCCAAACCGCTCTCCACCACACAGAAGATGCTCGTCAAGGATGACAAGGTGCGCAGAGCCATAGTGGAGCGTATGTTGTGTTGGAGGGGAGTGGGTTGGAAAAGGTGTGTTGTTGTTGTTGTTGTTGGGTGGGGATTAGGACTGTTCTTCCTTCTTCCTTCTTCCTTCTTGCGTCGTGTTCTTGTTCTTGTTCTTGTTCTTCTTGTTCTTCTTGCGTGCTCCGTCCGACCTCTTTCCCTCTGTGTCTCGCCTCACCGCGGCAACTGCATGGCAGGGCAACACGCTGAGTGTTGATGCGCCCCTGTGCACCGCATGCAGCAAACCCATCCTCACCCGCTACCTCGAGTTTGACGGCGGCAAATACCACCGCGGGTGCTTCGTGTAAGCTGAAGAACAATGGGAGAGGGAGGGGGAGATGTATGTGTGCGTGTGTGTGTGATCTGTGTGTGTGTGTGTGTGTGTGCGTGTGCGTGTGCGTGTGCGTGTGCGTGTGCGTGCGTGCGTGCGTTTGCATGCTCTTGTGTTGTGACCCCCTTCCCACACCAGACCTGGCACTTCTACATTCAATTCAATCCTTTCCATCACCACTCCCTCAACATACCTCCTCACCGCACTGTCTCCCCACGACAGCTGCAAGGGCTGCGGCGCCAATCTCGCCAACGCGGGCTTTGCTCCATCGGACTCGGGCCTCGTCTGCCAAAAGTGCTGGGCCAAGGTGCACATCATGTGTTGTGTGAATGCGTGTGTGTGTGTGTGTGTGTGTGTGTGAATGCGTGTGTGTGCGTGCGTGCGTGTGTGTGTGTGTGTGTGTGTGTGTGTGTGTGTGTGTGTGCGTGTGTGGCATTTCTCGCCCGTTCTGCCCTCTGCTTCCTCATTGTCGTCTGCCTTGCATTGCATCCCACCACCGCCCTCACCTCTCGTCCTCTGCTTGTGTCCATATTCCCGCTTCCCAGGAGAACGGCATGGTGTGTGCCGGCTGCGGTGAAATGATTGTACCAGAGATGGACAAACCCGTCCAATACGTCACCGTAAGTGCTGCACACACACACACACACACACACACACACACACACACACACACAGCTTTCTGACACATTCACAGGATCAGTACGTTCCACAGGTCTGACTACAACTCTCTGCATTCCTGTGCGTGTGCGTGTGTGCAAATGGCAGGTGAACGGCAAGGAATACCACAAGGATTGCATCAAGTGCAAGGAGTGCGGGCTTGTGTTTAAGAACGGCGTGCCAGGTTGGAGTATGCCATTTGCTGTGGCTTGTCGCTCACGCGTGCGCATTTTAAACACATGTGATTCTTCACTTTGCGCAGTGCACTACCGCCTGTATCACTCGTGCCTTCAACGGCTGACACCTCCCTGTCCTCGTCCACCTTCTCACTGCAACACACACACACACACACACACACACATACATACTTACACACGCACGCACGCACGCACGCACACACACACACACACATACTTACACAAACGCGCGCGCACGTTGCCTCCGTCCTCCGTTCAATTTCCTATGTCAGGCCCGTATCTTGTTGGCGACGATGTGCTGTGCAAAGAGCACGCGACTGCACGCCGGCGTGGTGGAAAGACGACGACGACGACTGGCGGCGGCGGCGGCATCTCGCAGGACTCGCAGGACAATGAGAAGCTCAATGCCATCTTCAAGGCGTCACGCACGGGCTGGAAGTGACGTTGACCGCACAGTCATGTGTGTGTGTGTGCGTGTGTGTTGGTGTGTGCGCGCGCGCCTTGTGTCTTTCTGTCTGCATCATCTTCACTTAAGTTTTGTTTCGTGGCGCCTGTGATGCAAGTTGACCTGAAATGACTTCTGTTCCTTTTATAAACAAGAGTGCGAACCTACGACCCAACTCCCCGCACACTCGGCAGTCCCTTATCATTCAAACTTACCCACATCCACAGTGAATGCCAAGACCACATGCCGATCAAAAACAAGTGCACAGCTTCCACAATACACATGCGATTGTGCCTGCAAGCAAGGCGCGTGCCTGCAAGCAAGCTTAAGAAAAGCGCGCGCGCGCGTTAGTGTGTTAGTATTCGAGCTGGACATTTGGGGACGAGTCGATAAGGAGCGGTTCGCAGTCGGATGAGCGAGGGCGAACACGGCGGTCCGCAATGATGAACGTCACCGTCGTCGCCACGCCCAGCACCCCGAGCACAATCTGGAGAAGGGGGTTGAGACAGGGAGGTGGTGAGGAAGTAGGAACGTCACCGTCGTCGCCACGCCCAGCACCCCGAGCACAATCTGGAGAAAGGGGTTGAGACAGGGAGGTGGTGAGGAAGTGTGTGTATGTGTGTGTGTATGTGTGTGTGTGTGTATGTGTGTGTGTGCCGTTATCTGCGTACTCATACATGTGCCGATGTGCATTCCACCTCGGCACGTGTGAATACAATCAACAGGCCACTCACCATCTGATACTCCAGCGCAACATACGGGCTGTAATAAAACGCAAGCGCACTCGCCAGCGCCTGACACGAGCGCGCAGTAGTTGGTGGTGGAGGAAGGGGTGGTAGTGGTGGTGAGGGGCGATGAGAGTCACATGGAGTGGGAGTGAGGGAGCATGCAGACACGCACATCACAACGTTCAGGAAAGACCTGCAATCGAGTATGCATGCGTGTCCTTGTGTGTGTGTGTGTGTGTGTGTGTGTGTGTGTGTGTGTGTGTGTGTGTGTGTGCATGGGCATGAAAGTGGTCTCACCTTTGCAAAGAAGTTTGCAGCAAACGCATCTGGCCCCTTGCCCGGGAACAAAACGCCTGTGATCACCACACAGCACACGCGGGTTGAGACATGAGGATGATGATGATGGCAAACAGTACGATCGATGGCAGCAGGCGAGGGGGAACGCAGACAAAACTCTTGCGCAGAGGTGTAGTGCAACTACACACACACACACACATAAATGTGTGCGCACGCACAATCACACATATGCACACACACAATCACACAAACCGAGTGCCGCGAATGTCTGCGTGTTGTAGACGCTGTCAGCGAGACCGAGGAGAAATCCGTACGCAAACGCAGCACCCACAGTCGGCGTCCACAGCTGCAGAGGAGGCGGTGGTGGTCGTCGTGATGGTGGTAGTGAGGTCGTGTGCGCGGTGAAGATAGAAGTTCGTGCGGCAACGGGATAGGAGAACATACACACATACATACACACACATACACACACATACACACACGCACGCACACACATACACACACATACACACACATACGCATGAACACACACACGGACGACCAACCTGTTTGAAGAGGTTGAGGTAGATGAGGATGAGGGCGAGGGAGGCAAAGGCGGTGCCGGCAACGACAATCGGCCACCGGCCAACACGATCACTCAACTTGCCAAACCCAAGCGACCCTGGTGTGCGACCCACGTTACAAGATAAAAGGGAGGCAGTGTGAGGGATGAGGCGATGCAGGAACTCGGGAAGGGCCGCAGAGAGAGAGAGGGAGGGAGGGAGGGAGGGAGGGAGGGAGGGGAGAGGGAGGGGAGAGGGAGGGAGGGAGGGAGAGAGAGAGAGAGAGAGAGAGAGAGAGGAGGGAGGGG